GACACCGGTGACGTGGTTTGGGGTGTCCGTGACACCCAGCGCGGTCGCCCCCTGAGGAGAGTCAAAGGTTGTGATGTCCCAGTGACATTGAGCACGGTGGCTCAATTCATGCAGGCAGCAGCAGAGCATGTGCGGCCCCAGGGAAGAGGAGGAGAGGCTAGTGAGACCCCCCACCCTGGGGCCAGACGCATGGTCCCCTTCCCCATTCTCCCCCCACCCCGCATCAGCATCTCCTGGCCACTCAGCCCCTGCAAGCATAGGCACTGGCCCCTGTCCTGCCGCCCGGTCGCAGTTCCTCATCCCCTTCTCCTTCTGGAGGGGCAGGCAACCCCCTGCTGCAGCCCCAGCCCGCGCCCCTCCTGCCCTGACCAAACGTGCAGGTTTTGCTTTGCCCTGGGGGTGGGAGCTGGAGGAGGGCGATCGGAGAGAGCAGGGAACACGTGGGTCTGCGCCATCTCTGCAGCTGCAGATAGGCCCATGTGTGCTCCCTTCTAGCGCCCTCCTCTGCTCCCACCCACAGAGCAAAACAAAATCCCAGATGTTTTTGGTCAGATTTAAAAAACCTGCTTGGATGGTGATCAGTGGGCCCGAAAAGAGGACGTGTCCAGAAAAACCTGGACGTATGGTAACCCTAGGGGGATCAGAGCCAGGCACTGCATCCCCAGTGCAGTCCCTAGGGTCAAGGGTCATGCCTGCACGCTCCGGAGATGCCAGGGGTCAAAGGTCAGTGCCTGAAACCTGTTGTTGACCCCTCCTGCCCCCCAGACTCACAGCAGCACCATCCTTCCGACGTGGCTCCATGGACGGACCCAGCAAGGGACCCCCCTGGCCCTGGGCTCCCGGGCCCAGAGCACGGCTGCAGCCAGTACTCCGGTGAGCGGTTTGGGAGCGAGGGGCACTGGGAGGGCAAGGGCTGCGGGTTGGAAATGAGGGACACGGGTGCTTGGGGACGGGGGGATGCAGGTCGGGAGCAGGGGACACAGGAGTGCCTTGGGGCAGGGGAGATGTGGGTCGGGAGTGAGGGGCACCACTATGGCTGGGGGTTGCGGGTCAGGAGTGAAGGCTCTTCCTGTTCTTCCCAGGTGCTGTCGGCAGCCTCCCTGGTACCCCCCGTGACCCCCATTCCCGGGACAGAGCTGGCCGTACCCGGGCTGGGGCCGGAGCTGGAGCTGAGCCTGTCCGAGCTGGGCCTGGCCTCCTACACACCTGTGGGTCTGATCCAGACCTTGCTGGAGTCACTGCACGTGCACCTGGGGCTGCCCTGGTGGGGTGCCATTGTGGCTGGTGAGGGGCATGCTGGGATACCGGGGGGGCTGAGCTGAGCCCTCTGCAGCAGCACTGTAGGCAATGGGTCCTGTGGGCTTCCCCCAAGGGACCTCAGTCCTCAGCCCCACAGCCTTGTGAGTAATTCCCTATCCTTGTCAAGTGCAGGGCATTGTGGGTAATCCCCTTTTCCCTACCACTGCCAGCCCAGTGCACTGTGGGTAAGAGCCTTGCTATAGTTCCTCTCTTCAAACCAAGGAGTAAATGCCCAGTGCAGTGCATCATGGGTAACAGAGGGTCCGTTCCCCCCCCCCACACACACACACACACATATGCACCCATGATGCATTGTGGGTAGCTCACTCCCAGGCTCAGGCAGGGCAGAGGCTCTTCCCCAGCACAGGGCACAGAGGGTGACCCATGGCTTTCCCTGCTACCCTGGTGCATTTTGGGGGATGATTTTTTTTTCCCCAGTGCATTGTGGGAAACATTACTCTGGGTCAGGGTGTTGGGAGCTGTTTTTCCTTCAGCACAGGGTATTATGGGTAAGGAGCTGCCTCCCCCCAGTGCATCATGAGTAAGGGGCTGTCTTGCTTCCCCAGCTCTAGTGTGTTCGGAGTGAGGAGTTGTATCCCTCTTCTTCCCTCTGATGCACTGTAGTTAGGGGGCTGCGTCTCCCCCTTGTGCATTGTGGGTAACAGGCTCCCTCCACAGGCACAGTTGTGGTTCGCTGCCTGGTCTTTCCATTAATCGTGAAGGGGCAGCGGGAGGCTGTGAAGATCAACAACCACATGCCCCAGATCACACGGCTCACGAACGTCATGAATGAGGCCAGGTGCTCCGGCAACCAATTTGAATGTGAGTGGGGATGGGAGCGGGGCCATGGTGGGGGCAGAGTCGCTGCCCCTGAGCTCCGCCCCCTCTCTAATGCGCCCTTTTCTCTGCCACCCCAGTCAACAGGGCCTACATGACCCTGATGACATACCGGAAGGACAATAACATTAATCCTATGTATGGCTTCGTGCCGGCCTTCGTCCAGGTGAGCCCTGCCCTCCCCACAGGCTCCGCCCCCACTGGTGTCCCTCACCCCCAGCACTGCTGCTGCCCCTCACTCTCAACCCACAGCCCCTCTACCACTGCCCAGCTCTCACACCCACCCTCATTTCTCCCCCAGGCCCCTGTCTTCATCTCCTTCTTCATTGCCCTGCGGGAAATGACTGATCTCCCAGTTCCCAGCATGCAAAGTGGTGGCCTGGCCTGGTTTCCGGACCTGACCATAGCAGACCCTTTCTACATCCTGCCTCTTGTTGCCACCGGCTCCGCGATGACCGTGATGCAGGTTAGGGGAAGAGTGTGGGCAGCTGCCCTGGGAACATGGGGCTTGTGTCCCCCCCGTACAGCTGCAGGGAGAGAGGAGCAATATGATAGGGCCTACAATAACCAAGGGGCTGTGGTGGTCTCAGCTTGGTGGGGACGACCCCTGCAGTAAGCAAGCAGGTGATTGGCCAAGGGAGGTGTTTCTGGTAGGGATGGCTATAAATGAGATGGTGAGGGGAGAAGAAGAGCAGGGATTTGGTACGGGCCTGGGGGAGTGAGGAACAGGGCTTACATAAGGGGTGGGGCTTTGATGCCTCATTGGCCACGCCCCTTTTACTCACCCTAGCTTGCCACAGAGGGCGACATGAACAATCCCAACCTCAAGTTGATGACAAGAGTCTTCTCGGTGGTTCCCCTAATTATTCTGCCGTTCACCTTCAAGCTGTCCACGGTGAGACCCTCGAACGGGGATGGGGGCGCCCCTTGTACATGGAGTACTTACAGGCATGGGAGCCTCTTGCACAGGGACAGAGCCCTCGCATGAAGACAAGGGCTTCTCACATGGGAAGGGCCTTTATTAGAGGCGCACTAATATATTGGTCCGTATCGGATCAGCACCAATAAAAGGAAAATTAATGTGATCAGTAATCGGCTTTTTTGATAGCATTACCAATAAATGCCATATACATGTGCACAGCTGCATCATATATGCAGCCAGGAGTGCAACCAGGCAGCTTGGAGAGCAGTGTCCGGCCAGTAAGTCTGTTGTGGGGGGCCACCACAGCACTGGGAGGGGTGGCTACAGAGGCAGTTATGGGGAATTTTGAGGTACCCATAGCCCCACCACCCAGTGCTGCTGCCACCCACCCCTAGCACAGTCCCAGCCCAGCCACCCTGCCTGGAAGAGGCCAACACAGCCCCTTGCCCCAAGCCTGCAGCAGGCAACCCGCCCTCATCCTGCACACACATCTGTGGAGAACGTGCCCCCCCCGTACCCACAGGATGAGATGCCCGCAGGGTTGCATTCACTGCCCAAGCTGGGCAGCACCTGCCTATGCCCCTGCCTCACTAACTCCCTTTCCATGAGGACCTCAGTCTGCCCCCACACCCCACCTTCTCCCCACAGACTTACTAGCTAGACACTGCTCTCCATGCTGTCCGGTTACATATGGGCGATTGGATCAGCATGGGCCAATAATTGGCCGTCAAAGAAAATCTTTATTGGTGCACCCCAGCACTTACATGGGGAGAGCTCTTACCTGGGGCTGGGGGCCTTTCACATGGGAACGAGGCCTTTGCACGGTGGTGGGAAGCCTCTCACACCAGGAGGGGCCTCACACAGGGGGCTCTTACACGGGAATGGGAATCTTTTGCAAATAAAGGGGTCTCACATGGGGAGTGGGGGTCCTCTCGCATAGAGAGGCACCTTGTACAGGGATGGGCCTCACACATGGGGATGGGGGGCCTCTAGCATGGGGAGAGCTATTGTATGAGGATGGCCCACAGGGATAGGGGCTTCTTGCACCGGCCAGTCACTGACTGTTTCTTTCTCTGGTCCTCTGCCCCATGTAGGCCGTGTTCACCTACTGGCTGACATCAAACACGTTGTCGCTGGTGCAGGTGGGGCTGCTGCGCCTCCCAGTCGTGCGCACCTGGCTCCGCATCCCTCAGAGAGTGGAGCACAAACCCAACCTGCTGCCCAAGAGGGAGGGCTTCTTCAAGAACCTCAAGACCGGTGAGCATTGCCCCAGGGCTGGGGGTGGAGGTAGGGGGTCCACAGTATGCATGGGTTTCACCCTGCTCTTTTCCCAACCTCCCCCTCCCCAGGGTGGAAGAACGCAGCCCTGGCACAGAAGATGGAGGAGCGGGAGCAACGCATAAAAAACCGCCTGGCACTGGCAGCCAAGGGTGGGTAGGGCCCTTGCACAAGGGGGCGGGGCCTTTTGGCTACCACTTTCTCCTTCCCAGTCCTGGCTGCCAGCTACCTTGAGCTGGTGAAGCAGCTGCCACTAACTTCCTTCCTGGCAGCCTTGCCCTTTGTTTCTGTGGAGGTGTAATGTTGAGCAAGGACGGGCATGAGGGCAGCAGCCACTTCTGGGTGGGGTCCTGCCTGTTTCCTCAGGGGGCAGTGGCCATTTTGGGAGTGGGTACCTTGCCTATATCCTCAGGGGTAGCCACTATTTTGGGTGAGGGCACTGTGCCTGGTTGGGATGGTAGAAGCCATGTTTACTAAGGGCATTACCAGGTTGCAAGGCAGAGGAGGGGTGGCCATTTTGACTAAGGGCACTATTCAGCTCTTCCCAGGCAATGGCCACTGCTGATGGCATGGGACCCCCTCCGCACATTTGTCCTTGAGGATCTTTACTCCCTGAGGGCTGCCAAGGGGACACATTTTCTCCTGTCTCTCATGCCTTTCACCCCTTCTCTGCACCAGCACCCCTGCGCCAGACGTTTAGCTATAATCCTTTGAAGCCCCAAGAAGACCAGACTGGCAGTAACACCCCCACCAAGCAACCAGAGAGACCCTGGAGGAACCCGTTTGCCTGAACACACTCCCCAGTGCCAGCAAAGAGGATGAGGATGCCCCACGTGGGACACCAGAGCTGCCCCCAGCACTGGACTCAGGGGGGAGGGGGGGCAGGACTGGTGCATTGCAATAAAGGACCCACAATGCCGCTGCTGGTGCCACCAAGCTGTGCTTGACCACGGAGGAGTGATTTGGGCTGTGGGAGCCAAGAGCAGTTGCAGGAGCCCAGATGCCTGGGTTTGCAGGGAGCAGGGTGAGGAGCTGGATGGCAGGGGGTGGGAGCCCAGACAGCTTGGTTCTCAGCCAGCTCTGGTAGGTTCAAAAGAGTGCAAGGGGTACAGGCATCCCAGACACCTGGGTTCCCTCCCTCACTTGCAGCCGCTCTGCAGCTGCTCCAGCCTGGGTATATGTCAGAAGAGGGGGCACTGCAGGTGGCAAGTGGGGGAGATGGGAGCTGCCTTCTCAGGTGCCCCCAAAACTGAGACATACTCTGCCCCCCCCCCCCAGCTCTGCACAGCGGAAAAAGCTGAATGACCCCAGCTGAGGTGGTTTGGGGGGGACCTTTGTGGTACTGGGGGGCTTGGGGGTCCCCAGTAGAGAAGTCTGAAACGGCACCGTTCCATTTCAACTTGCGTTTCGACGGAACAGCATTTTGTTTTGGATTTTGTTTCAATTTGAAACTGGTGTTTTGTTTCATTTTGTCAACATTTTGTTGTTTTGACGTCGTTTTGACGTTTCACCCATAGGCTATAATGAGGAAGCACAAAATGGCCTATAACTTTGTCATTTCTGGCCTGATTTGGATGAAACTTGCAGGAATGGTAGCCCCTTTTGAGGTCATGAAACCTGCTAAGTTTCAAGGAGATAGGTGCACGGGTTTGGGGAAAACTGCACCTCAAGCTGCTGACAATCAAAACTCATGACATGGATGATAGGCCTGTGTGAATAGGCAACTATTCGATTCGGCTTCGGATTCGGCCGCTTCTGATGCCAGGGATCTGATCTGGAGCTCCGGATCAGTTTCCTGCTTCGATTCGGCCGAAGCAGCTCCGAAGCTTTTGAGCCGCTTCGGAGACCCGGCCATAGGGTATAATGGGGATTCAATGAAATATCTATAACTTTGTTTTTTTGTCTGACTAGAATGAAACTTGCAGGGGTGGTAGCCTCTGCTGAGAGCATGAAGCCTGCAGAGTTACAAGAAGATCGGTGCAGGGGTCTTGGGGGAACTGCACCCCAAATTCTTGAAAGCAAAACTCGTGTCCCAAGTAGGACAACAGGACCAAGTACAGCGCCAGGTCACCCAGGGCCAGTAGGGACCCAGCAAAGACATCTGGGAAGTGCCCCGTGTGTCCTGTGCGGGGTGGGAACAGCACAGCAGGGGGCTGCAGTTCAGGAGGGATAGGTACCCGGGGGGAGGGGGGGGGGCAGGGACTGCAAAGGCTGCAGGTCAGGTGGGAGAGCTTTCGCCCTGGCCAAGACGCGCCAACCAGGTACCACTCAGTGCTGGCAGCACCAGGACACGGCGTAGGTGAGGATGTCCTGGACGCGGGTTCCCCACTGCATGTAGGTGCAGTTCACAAAGGTCAGTATGCCTACGGGGTAGTGACACATGAGCCCAGTCCCAGGGACAGACACCTGGGTTCTCCTCTTCTGGGGGGCGCTGGGAGGGTAGTGGGGTCTGGTGGGCTGAGTCAGGACGGCCCGGTGCTCCCCCAGCCGGGTAGCGGGTCAGGGGCTACTGGGTTGAAGCCTGGGATGTCCTGGTCAACTTCCTTCTGGCCCTGGACAAGCTGGCCGTGCCCTAGCGGTGGCACACATCTGAGGGGCACCGCTGCCCGACTCAAACATGGCCGCCGCGGCTACATTTCGCCCGCTTCCCAGGTGCTGGCTGACAGCTGCACATATGCTGCCTTCGTTCCCAATGGCAGCTGCACCGTGGAGGAAGCAGGTTTCTTGTCCTCACTCAACATGGTTCCCCCTTGACGTGCAAGCGGTCATGTCCCCAAACCTAGCCGGGCGCGGCGGTATGACGAACCTTGACCTCATCTTGTCTGGCGGCTGCCCTCCCTTTCGAAGCTGTGGTGCCCTCACTCAATATGGCGTCGGGCACTACAGATTAAGGGCATGGGGCCAGTACCCAATACGGCGGCGGCGGGTTCGATC